AAATAGTGGTGATCTCCAGACAGGATTCTGAGAGAGATTTCACTTCTATTTTATGTATTTCTTAGGTAATTCAAATGTCTTCCAGTCTTCTGGAGTCATTTATTCCTGTAATAACCAAATAACGCGACTTCCCACCCCATGTAAGATCAAGATCTATACTCTAACTACCCCTCCTCCCCTCAGGGTTGTTGTTGTTAGCTGCCATGGAGTCTGCCCACAACTCATGGTGACCCCATGCACAATGGAAGGAAATTAGTCCTGTGCCATCCCCATGATCGGCTGCAGATGGGACAGTTGTGATCCATATGGTTTTCACTGGTTGATTTTCAGAAGTAGATAATCTCTCCTTCATGTAAGGCAAGAATTCTACCACTGAACCACCAATGCCCTTGGCCTCAGCCTACCACTGTTTTGTAAGGATCTGTTCCTCTAGTCAATAACTCTCCCCTTCCATTTAATCCCTCTTCCCCTGCTTCCTGGGATCCTCAACCCCTTTCTCCAGACAGTTGCATGAAAAACGCCAAGTTCTTATTTTTATATACAAAGCATATAAAACTTTCAGCCCCCATTTTAGACTAAAAAGCTACTGCTGGGGAACTTTTCTAAATAAAAAGCCATCGACCCCTGATCTCCACCCTCAGCTAAGCAAACAGTATAAGCAAAGAGATGGATTAAAGATGAAAATTAATTACATCAGTTAAATTCTAATTAAATTAAATCAAATTCTTAGATGTGCTTCTTTCCAATCAGAGCAAACTCTAGAGGTAATTTTTCTGTCTGACTGTTATAGATATTTTCCAGATTTTCTGCAACGAGCATTTTCATTTTTAAATGAAATAAAACCCAGCAAATATTATAAAAAATTAAGTGCTGCTTATTGATGAATGCTTCCAAAGTACACTAAGTTTTTATTTCAGAAAACACCCCATTATCATACGTCAGCTCTGTTTCAGTCTGGCTCTTTGCCCTATTTTTTTTCTTTCAGTTTTTTTTTAACATTTTACAGGGGGAACAGCCTTCAAATATAAAAAGGACAGGAAAAAAATGGCTCTGAGACATACGAGATTCCAACAAATTTAAACTCTGCTTGCTATAGATGAAAATTATATAAGTGCCTTTCTCAATTGTGAGTATTCATTTAGATGAAACCAAGCTGGAATCAGAATTCATAATACTAGGTTTTAGTGGTTTTACTTAGTATCTTCAGAAAAGAGGATCTTATATATTGTAGTCATTAGAGTTGAAATGTATAAACATATCTATATTTTGAGATCTATGGGGGGTGCTTTATATGTTATAGTAATTCAAAACATTTTTGTAGAGCGGACAATTCATGCACATTTCCAACTAGAAACAGAATTTGGCTGATCTTGGCTTATAAAAAGGAGCCCTGGTGGTGCAGTAGTTAAGCGCTTGTGCTTGGCTGCTAACCAAAGGTCGGCGTTTCAAACTCGCCAGCGGCTCCGCAGGAAAAAATATGCGGCAGTCCGCTCCTGTAAAGAGTACAGCCTGGGAAACCCCATGGGGCAGTACTACTCAGTCTTACAGGGTCGCTGTGAGTCGGAATCGACTCATCGGCATTGGGTTTTGGCTTATAAAATTCATCACCTAGACTATATCTTTAATAAAATAGTAAGTTAAAGCTAAAATTAGATTTTATAAAGTTTGCTGATAATACCTTGAAAGGAAGAAAACTTTAAATTCAAATAATACATACACTTTTATTAAATATAAACCAGCTTATGACGTTTTTCATTAAGACTGTTAGTTCCTAAACTGGATAACACTGCCACCTAATGGGAAAGAATGACAATGACGTTTTTGTCTTAAAAAAACAGAACAAAACTCCTTTCTTCCCCTGTAGGTGTACCAGCAACAGTAGGGAGATTTTTGCAGTGCTGGTGGAGGCAGTCTGAGTTTCCAAGATGGAACAAGTTGCCTTAATAACTGTGGACAATATACATCTTTGTGTAAGTGTCCCTTTAAAACACAACTGTGTAATGTTCAAACCTAACTTTCTTTAAAAAGAAAAGACAACGAAACAAAACACTGAGTGATCTTCAACTGTTGTGAATTTCCATGAGCCAAAATGAGAAAGAAATTCGGGATCCAGTTCTATAACACTAAACTGCATTTTCAAATTTTACCTCTAAGGAAACTTAACATACGCTTCCTCCTCTAATAAAGGAAAAGACAAACATCACTCATGCCCATAATAAATTATGCAAATCGTTTGATTTTGTAAAGCAAATAGCAAAATTACTTCACCCCTTTCCTGGCAACTTAGAAAAAACAAAATGCTTACGTTACATTGCTTAATAATTAAGAATTAAAGTGGGGCTAAATTATTTTATAAATGTTTCCTGAATTATTCTATTCTAGTACTTGGATTTTCTCTTTTAGTCTTTTATTCACTTAATTTAAAAATACATTAAACCTAATTTTATTCTTTGCTATTAAAATAAAATGAAAAAAAAAACCCTAGAAATTTAAAGTGTTATTAATTGCTACTAATGGCAGCAATTATTTTGTCTGGACTTCTAGCTGTGAGACATAATGCAAGTTACTTAACCTCTCTGAATCCCAGTTTCTTTACCTGTACAATGGGGATAATAACATGACCTTCCTCATTGGATTGTTGTGAGGATTAAATGAATTAGTACAAGTAAAGTGCTTAGTTAGATTCATGCCAGATACCACAGGAAGCATTCATTAAATTTTAGCTCTCATTATTATTATTACAGGTGGACCAACATCTGAAATGTACCTACATCTAATTTGTGTTGAGTTTAGCGTAGTTCTGTGATGTGACTTAGCTTGCCTGTCATGCTAAGACTGTGGGATCTCGTCTTAGTTAACTAGTGCAGCTATAACAGAAATACCACAAGTGGATGGCTTTAACAAAGAGAAATTTATTCTCCCACAGTCTAGGAGGCTAGAAGTCCGAATTCAGGGTGCCAGCTCCAGGGGAAGGCTTTCTCTCTCTGTCGGCTCTGAAGGAAGGTCCTTGTTATCAATCTTCCCCTGGTCTAGGAGATTCTCAGTGCAGGGATCGTAGGTCCAAAGGACACACTCTGTTCCTGGCACTACTTTCTTGTGGTATGAGGTCCCCCTGTCTCTCGGCTCCCTACTCTCTTTTATATCTAAAAAGAGATTGACTCAAGATACAGCCTAATTTTGTAGATTGAGTCCTGCCTCATGAACAGAACTTCCTCTAATCCCGCTTCATTAACATCATAGAGGTAGGATTTACAACACATAGGAAAATCACATCAGATGACAAAATGGTGGACAATCACACAATACTGGGAATCATGGCCTAGCCAAGTTGACACACATTTTTGGGGGACACAATTTAATCCATAACAGTTCTCTAATTTCCATTTATAGGCAGCATAGGCCAAAGGATGTTTGGGCTCTCTGGTTTTATTTGAACCCTTTGATCTATGGCATGGGTTTGGACCCTGCTCCCATTCTTGCATTTACTAGATTTGGGCAAATTATCTAATCTTTCTAAGTCCAGATTTTTTTTTAATTGATAAAACGAGGAACAATAGTACAGACCTCACAGGTTGCTTTGAGAATTACATGAGATAATGCAAACGTAAAGCCCTTACCACAGTGTGAGTTTTCAAACTTCAACCAAGTTCTCTAGTGTAGTAAAAGAAAAAAAAAAAAGACACTCCATCTAAACCAATATTAGCACCACTTACATAATATACAGTGTTGAGGAAATGAGCCAGCAGATGAAATTGATGGGAGAAGGAATTCTGCACGGGAGTAGGGGAATGTGGGCGTGGGGAGCGGGCAACACGTTGATCACACAAATACGGGGTGGAGAATGATCAGAGGATGAGTAAGAGGCAGGATAACGTGATGATAAAAAGCCTGGAAATGGAGTTGGATAGACCTAGGTCTGAATTCAGGCTCTTTTCCAACTGTTACGAGGCCTTGGGCAGGTTACCAAATCTTTTGAGCCAGTTTCCTCAGCATTGGGGATAATAAAGTTGCTGTGCGGATTGAATGAGATAATGCATTCAAAGTGCTTCCCACTGAGCCTAGGTCATAAAAGAACTCAATAAATGGTAGCTGTAGTTATTCTTATTTTTATAAAGAAATATTTTCTACGATGGGACTTGAGCACCTCATCGGGACAACTCTTTAAAGCATTCTAGTTTCTACCTGTATGTGAAAGGTGTGGTAAGCGGAAATAAGGAAGTAAGTATTTGAGGACTTTGATGCAGGGAAAGGGGGAAGGGTTGGAGCCAGTGTCTTTGAATTGGTTCCTTAAAACAGCAGGCTCTCTTAGGCTTAAACTCTGAGACTCTCTCCAGTTCCTTACTTTACTGTCTTAAACTCCTGGAGAGGAGGAAATAAAGGTGTGGCCAAGCCAGCCCTGCCTCGCCCCTCTCCCACCACATGGGGGAGCACGTAGGCGCGTATATACAGGGGCATTGTGACTTCATCACCATGACGAAACCACTGCGCAAGGGGGTAAGGCGGTAATACTCCCCCAGGTTCATTTTCTTCTTCCCCACACTTATGGCCTGTTGGCAGGGAAAGGCCAGATGACAACTTGAAACTCAGCCAAGCCTGTAGCTGTGATCGCTGGTGAGGTCAACTCTAGCAAACCGTCGGCATCAATAATCGTCTTCCGGTAGCCCTCCTTTTTTCCTCCCATTCTCACCTTGAAGGAAGGTATCTCGAAGGGTAAATCAAGTTGAAAAAACCTGGAAAGAGCCGACAACCTCACACCACAGCACTGTACTTAAGGGCTCCTGTTCCATCTAGACACTTAGTCATCGGCCAGCCAGTCCTCTGCCAATCTGCCATCAGCAAATGAGTCCTCTCTCAAACAGTCCTTGGCCAATCAGTCCTCGGCTTATCAGCCATAAACCAGCTAGTCATCAGCCAATCAGGCAAAAATGAACCCATCAGCCACCAGCCAACCAGGTAAAAGCCTACCTGTAACGAACCAACCGGGCACAAGCCAATGAGGCATGAACCAACCAGGCATGAGTCAACCAAGCACAAACAAAGCTAGTATGAATCAACCAGGCACGAGCCAACCAAGCACAAGCCTAACTGGTATGAAGCAACCAGGCACAAGCCAACGAAGCATAAGCCAACTAGGGATGAGTCAACCAGGTACAAGCCCACCTGGTATGAACCAATCGGGCACAAGCCAACGAGGCATGAGCCAACCAGGCACCAGCCTACCTGGTATGAACCAACCAGGCACGAGTAAACCAGGCACGAGTCAACGAAGCATGAGCCAACCAGTCCTAACTGGTGTGAACCAAAAAGGCATTAGCCAACGAAGCATGAGCCAACCAAGCATGAGCCAACCAGGCATGAGCCAACTAAGCACAAGCTTAACTGGTATGAACCAACTAGGCACCAGCCAACGAAGCATGAGCCAACCAGACACCAGCCTACCTGGTATGAACCAATCAGGCACAAGCCAACCGGGCACGAGTCAACAGGGCATGAGCCTACCTGGTAAGAACCAACTGAGCACAAGCCAATCGGGCATAAGCCAACGAGGCATGAGTCAACCAGGAACAAGCCAACCCAGCACGAGCCTATCTGGTATGAACCAACTAGCTAGGAGCCAACCACGGAAGAGCCAAGCAGACACTAGCCAATCAGGCACTAGCCGATCAGGCATGAACCAACCGAGCACAAGCTTACCTGACACAAACCAACCAGGTATGAAACAACCAGGCATGAGCCAAGCAAGCATGAAGCAACTAGGCATGAATTCTTTCAGAGTAAGACCTGCAGTGGCTCGAGACTGCCCTGAAATACTGCGCCTGATTAAAGTAAGCCTGTCCTTAATTCTGTGGGGCTTCATGGCGTTAGTTTAGGGCTAAAAGAGAGCAAGGGGGGTATAGGCTGGGTTTGAATACTGGCTCTGCAAATAATGACCCGTGTATACAACTTTCTGGAAGTTACTTAACCTAAGGGTCACTTTCCTCATCGTTAAAATCAAGATTATAGTTTCATTCATGTATAGATATGTATCTATACGTATATATGTATATATACATGTATATATATATACATCTATATCTCAAAAGATTATTGTAATGATTCAGCTAGGTAAAATGATTTCGGCTCAAAATGTCATGAGGGGAACCACTTCATGGAAATTTCGGGGATCAAATGTGTTGTCTCTCCTGGGGTGATTTTCATTTTAAAAAAGGATCTTAGAGAAAAGGAATGCTTAACTTGAATGACTCACCAATGACAGAATTTCAGATACTAATGGGTAAGTTTTTGGGATAGGGAGGCTCATTGTTTCTTATATAACACCCACTTACAGAAGCTGATGATTCTTTGCCCAGAAAACAATATTCATACACAACAAATTTTCCACGATCCATGGATCCATGTTCCTTGATCCCTGAAGCCCATCCAGGGTTCAAAGTTCCAAGGATCGTAGTTAAACATTTCTGATTTACACATTTATTTTAATGACTTTGCTGGAAATCACTCAAGTTCACTAAAGGGGTCAGTTCAATAGCTATAGTTCTGTGCTGAAGTTCTGTGGCACTGAAGGCAATTGCTTATGTTATGTAAAACCTAAACAATATTAAAGCAGTAGTCCATTTTCTTTATGTAGTAAATGCATGACTGAAACAAGGCATAGATTATACTAAGAGTTTTGTAATGAAAATGTTGCATCTGCTTACCAACATGTCTAAATCTCTAAATTAGGCCAAGATTGTGTTCCCTTTGATTGGAGAATGTGTTTTAACGGTCAAAATAAAATAACAAAACTTTTGTAGTAAAATCCTTCTGTTTAAATGAGGTGGCACAGTGGCTAAGAGCTCAGCTGCCAAAAGGCTGGCAGTCTGAATCCACCAGCTGCTTCCTGGAAACCCTACGGTGACTGTTCTACTCTGTCCTATAGGGTCGCTATGAGTCGGAATCGACTTGACGGCAATGGGTTTGGGTTTTTTGGTTAGGCCAGGTTACATATCTATAAGAACTGGATTATACATCCTCCCATGGCTTCAATTCTATTCAATTCTCACAAGTTCCCAGATCATTTCTCCAACTGGCATTAATCTAAATGATTATATGATCAATCAAAATACTATGCTCAACATGCTAATTATTCCAGATCCACATTTTTCCAGGTGGTAGAAAATAATTTAGAAGATTTTTTTGTAGCGCTAGTATCTGACACCTGGTTTGAAATTAATAAATTTTTTTAATTGAACCACAGTGAATCTCTTTATCTGGACAAACTTGTTTCCTAGCTTTCCAAACAATGCCCATCGTTATCATCAAGGGAAAAATACATCACCGGACTCTCCTACTCCAGTGAGTCTGTATCTGTGGAGTTCCTGACCACATTTACTTTACTTTTTAATTTGTCTCATGTGCCTGAAAATACACCAAAAGTTTCTTGGGAGTAATTTTAACTAGTATTTACTATACAAAAAAAGTCAGTTGCCATCAAGTCGATTCCAACTCATAGCGACTCTATGTGTGTCAGCGTAGAACTGTGCTCCATAAGGTTTTCAATGGCTGATTTTTCAGAATAGCCAGGCCTTTCTTCTGAAGTGTGTCTGGGTGGACTTGAACCTCCATCCTTTCGGTTAGCAGCCGAGTGCATAACTGTTTGCACCACCCAGGGACTCCACAAAAATACTAGAAAACTGAATTACTTACTGTCCACCACAGATATGTGAGTACTGATTAATTAGTTTTGGGCTTTATGTTCCTCTCTAAAAAAACACATATCCATTTGTCCTATCTCCTCTTCATTGCTAAGTTATAAAACATTCTCTTTTTGCAAAGCAATTTATTAGAGTTTGGCATCATAGTAATTCTGTAGCTGAGAATATTGCAGGCTCTATTTACTGTCCTGCCACGAAAATTCTTCCGAGTATACTTTGTATACACCTGTTCTATCCTATTTGTAACCACAGCATTATTTCAGGATCTAGTCATTGTATAGCTAGGCAACCACAACTTTTATTATGGTGGTTCCTAAAGTGTGGTTCTGGATCAATGGTGATCCATAGATGAGTGCTGTGTAGTATTAACACTAGATTTTTGTTCATTGTAAAAACATTGAGTGCATATTAGGGAAAAAGCCATGTGCTAAGTACTGTAAAAGACACAAAGATTGTTAAATTACAGTCTCTGCTCTCAATGAGTTTACAGTGTGTTAGGGGAGGTAAAGACACAAATAATTTTTATCCTCCTCACCCAATGCATTCTCTACACAGCAGTCAAAATTCTCAAGACTCCACTGGGCTTCTGGTTTTACTGAGAATAAAATTCAAATTTCTTACAAGGCTCTACCTAATCTGGCCCTTGCTGTCTTCCTTATATATCTTAAAAGCTTTTTCCATTATAAATTTAATGTACTCTCAGTCAAAACCCCCAAATTTTCACCTGGAACTATAAACATGAGCACTTCTAGAAAAGTTCCAAAAAGAAGAGTGATATCCCTACCAGATATTATAAACCTCTAAGTAATTAAAATACTATGGTTATAGGTGCAGAGATAGATCAATGGAACAGAATTTAGACTATGAAAAAAGAGACATTTCAAATTAGTGAATAAAAGGGTTATTCAATAAATGGTGTTGGGACAACTGGGGAGACAAAGATGAAACTCCACCTCACCTCTTACACCAAAAAAAAATCAAATGAATCAATTATTAATATTAAGAATTTAAGAATAATCTGGAAGTGGAGAAGACCTTTCCAAGCATGAGACCTAAACCATAAAGGATTAATTTGAATATGTAAAAAAAGATACAGTAAAAAGCAAAATAAACAAAGTCTAAACTGGGTAAAACACCTGACAGGCAAACACATGGCAGATTCTTCTGTAAAGCCTATGGACTTTATAATACATAGACTTTAGGATACCTACTTTGAATGCTCAGAAACCCTTTTTGCTTTACTTTTCCGGTTTCTGGTTGTATTCAAGGCTAGTTGACTGGACAACTGACCCTCATGAATGAGGTATCAAAGTAGTTAATCTCTCTATAATTATATATATTATTTTGTTGAGCGTGCTGTTTTAGATTTTAAGTTTACAGTTGGTGGGGGTCAAGTGTGACTCACCTTTAACAGTGCAAGGGACAACATCATAAGTGAATAAACAATAAAAAACTTCCCAATAGTTATCATCTTAAGAATTTGTTTACCAAATCATAAACTGAAGTTTTCTCTGCTTTGACAGGAACTGGCTGCTTGTGAAAACATGCTAGATGCAGTGAAGTTAACAGCAGCAGGTAAGACGTTCTGTGGTATTTTCAGAGCTAGAAAAATAAACAGGGCATAATGTATGCACACAGTACTACATTTACCTGGATATGTGGAAGCTGCTGTCCTTGGTATACAAAGACGATGACATTAATAATATCCATATGCATGCAGCCCTGGTGGCGCAATGGTTAAGAGCTCAGCTGCTAACCAAAATGTTGGCAGTTCGAATCCACCAGCTAGTGCTTGGAAACCCTATGGGGCAGTTCTACTCTGTCCAATAGGGTTGCTATGAGTCGGAATTGACTCGACAGGAACAGGAAGTGTTTTATGATGAATGAGAACTTTCTAGGTAGGAAAGATGAAGACTTAGAACAGAGATGATTAAAGTCTATAAAATTATGAATGGCAAAGAAAGTTATTTACCAAATCCTAGAAAATTATGAGCAAAGATGACTCCTTGTAATAAACTTAGAGCATTCTTCAAAGGAGATAAACGGTTTTGCTACAATACTGGGCGAGAGATCAATTGCAAACTTCAGAAGAAGGGCTGTTTTGTGGGGGTCTTTTGGGCCATGCCCTAACACAGCAATCTTGGTGTCTTGATCAGAAATAGAACCCTGAGCTGCATGGATCATGGATCAATCATCCCATATGACAATCTGTATGTTCTTACACTTGATAATACCACCACCAGAATGTTAACCGTTTCATTGGTCTAATGGAAATAGTAAAAAAAAATACAAAGTTGAAAGTAATGGACACTCTATGAAAGCAGTATTCAAACTAAAACAGTATTACTATACTGAGATAAGGTCATTATTTCATTGTAGTTAGGAAAATACTGCTCAGTGTAATGTATAACAATTAATATTAAAAAACAACAAAAATACTTCATGTACTCCATCTTCTTGCCTTAGGATTTCACTGTATCTTTTAAGTTATTTCATAATATCCTCAGTTGTTTTTATCCTAAAAAGTCTTTGTGTTCTAGTATAGAGGCAGGTGAGATATTTGATGAAATAATGCTCTATTCTTACCTATTACTGTAAACTTTTTGACATACTGATGTGAATTGATACTTCAGATTTACTCAGGGATGGCTTTGGGGACAATCCCCTTTTCTACTGCCTGATTGCAGAAACACAAAATCAACATACACCATCAGGTAAAGTATATCTTCTTTCTCCAATTTAATCTAGAGTATATTTTCCCCACTGTGCAGAGTACAGTTTGATAGCATATAATGACCATTAAGCAAGGAGAAGAGTGTAAGAGTATAAAACCAGTTTTTTGGTAAAGTGTGTGGTATGTACTTATGTTTACATATGCATAGGAAAAAATTTGAAAAGTATACTTCACACTGTTAAGAGGTCATACCTCTGCAAAGTTGTATTATAAGGGACTTACACCTTCTACTTTACATATTTCTAGTATTTGAAATTTTGTCCAGTGACCATTTATTACCTTAATCGTTTAAAAAACAAAATAAAACAAAGATGTTCCATTTGGGGGGAAGATTCTTTCAAAGATTCAAAGCATTAACCTCTTTGTACCCCCTCTTCCCTCTTCTAGACACAGTGACCATTGGATTTGCCATGTACTACTTTACATACAACCCCTGGATTGGCAAGTTACTTTACCTAGAGGACTTTTATGTCATACAAGCTTATCGAGGTCAAAATACATTTAGCAGTACTTATAAATACTTTAAAAATCAAAACAGTATGTTTTAATGTTAAGGATAAGAGATAACATTTTAGTATAAATGTGACATTCAAAGTTAGTCTATGTAATACATTTCTGTTTCATGAGTCTGATACTATCCTAGTCATCCCTGCATGTGGTGAAGACCCAATCACTGATTACAAAATATTTTTTTTATTAGTTACCATCAGGGCTTGAATAAGCAAAGCTACTATTAAAAAAAAAAAAAAAAACAGTTGCCATTGAGTCGATTCTGACTCATAGCGACCCTATAGGACAGAGTAGAACCGCCCCATGGAGTTTCCAAGGAGCAGCTGGTGGATTCAAACTGCCAACCTTTTGGTTAACAGCCGAGATCTTAACCACTACGCTACCAGGGTTTCCAAAGCTACCATAGCTATACTTTTAAGAAATGCTTTGACATTTTGGGTTAGTTTGACTAGAAATGGATATGAAATATACCCTGTCATAAGATGATAGTGACAGAAACTCATTTCCTCTTCACTAATACAACCCAAACTCTTTTCCACTACCCTTGGAATCACATTCCAATTATGAAAAAGAGATATGGAAAACATTCATAAGTTTCAACACAAGATATTAAGGATATGTAATAACTAGATACAGAGTTCTTATATTTTATTTATTTTAAACTAAAGCAAATAACTTGTTAAGGGAGTTTTTTCAACTTACTGTTTGCATTTTGCATTATCTATTTAAAAGGACTAGGTATTGGAGCTGAAATGCTGAAGAGGCTAAGTCAGGTATGTCTTACAATTAGTATTGATATTCAATTTCATCAACAAATATTATTATCTAACAGGGCATAAATTAGGTAATTCATCATCTCATCATCTGAACATAACCCCAAAATATTTTTTGTATTCCAATCAAACTGGTTTTTCAAATCAGATACTCATATAGGTTATATTTAATCAAAAATTGATTTCTATATAATCCACAACCATATAATACACTTTTTGCTGTAAAGCAGAAAGACGTAAGCATGAGGGAGATTAGAAGGCAATTTTACCCATAAAATAGGTCCAAGTATGACTATGAGAATAGTATAAAAGCAAGACCCTTGTGACTTTCGGAAATACACATGAAAACATGTTCTTTTAGGTAAACTTTTTCTGTAGCATAAAGAAAAAACAATCAATAGAAAAACCAACGAGTGGACTTTGCAAATCAGTTTTGGACTTAAGAAGGACTTAAGAAGGGAGGGATTTTAAAGCTCATAACAGTAGGATATTTTCGTTTTCAGCTATAAAGAAGTCCAAGAGATAATTATTTTGAAGTATTTTGCACATACCACCTTTTCAGACTTTTCAATGAAATAAATGTGTTAATGAAGACTATACTTTCAAATAAAAGTATTTTTTGTTTGTTTTTAAACAGATAGCCATCAGAAGCCAGTGCAACTGCATGCAACTTCTTGTTGTCATTTGGAACGAGGCTTCTATTGACTACTACACTCGACGAGGGGCTTTAGACCTTTCCTCTGAGGAGGGCTGGCATCTGTTCAGATTTAACAGAGAAGAACTCATGGACATGGCAGGGGGAGAATGAAAAAGGATGCATAACAACCCATCCCAACATAGGCCTCAACATCTGAATGTCACCTGAGTCCAACAACAATTTGACTTTGAATGTTGTACAATACAGCAAGTGATCATAACACTCTGGTTTGAGCAGATCTTTTACTTTGAAGCAGATTTTGCAGCTGTAGTCAACTCTCCATTATCCAAACTAATATACTCATGGCTAGTAGCAGTGCTGATAATCCAAATGAGCAGATAATTCAAAAATCGCTTATACTTGACTTTGAGCTATTTATTTTTTTACCTATCATATTTCACCAAATTTAAGATGCTTTTTTTCCCCCACATTTTAACGTCTGAAATCAGGATAAGTGTAATGATCAAATGGCATTTTCTTTCTTCTTCTTCTTGTGTGCCATCAAGTAGATTCCATCTCATAAAACCAAACCAAACCCACTGCCATCAAGTTGATTCCGACACATAGCGACTCTACAGGACCAAGTAGAACTGCCCCATAGGGTTTCCAAGGCTGTAAATCTTTACAGAAGCAGATTGCCACATCTTCCTTCCACACAGCAGCTGGTGGGTTTGCACTGCTGACCTTCTGGTTAGCAGCCAAGCACTTACCACTCTGCCACCAGGGATTCTAATAGTAATCTTAGATGTGACGAAATATGAGTGTATTTGATTGTTAACAGATCTGAGGTACTAAAAATTCAGTTCAAATAGTTAAGCTAAATTCTGAAGAGCTTACTTGTGAAAAATAAGTGAACTGATTCACCCTGAGCAGCTCAAGTACCACTGCCTCCTTGACATTGTCCTAGAACTGCATTCCATCTTTGAACAACTATAAGCTCTTTGGTTGTACTTATCTTAGAGCAGATATCACATACAACACTGTATTTGTGTCTGTTTTTATCCTTCCTAATTGAGTATATGCCCTTTGGTAGAATTATACTTCTCTTTGTATTTTGTGGTGCCACCTGCATGGCAGAACATGTGAGTTCCTACTATGTACCAGGTATTGTTATGTGCAGAGAGGCTACACAGATGATTCAGTCACACCTGCAAGGAGCCTCATCTGGAGGAAATACTAATTATTATAAATTGTGTGGACTATCACAGCTATAAATACCAACTGCAAGGAAACAGAGAAAGAGCATCTAAATTCTACCCGGGAGAACTGAGAAAAGTGGCAGTGAAATTGGATTTGGAGGATAGGTAGGAGGTTGGACTATGGGGCAGGATGAGAAAGAAGAGCATTCCAAGAAGAGACACCAGCATAGGCAGAGAAAAAGAAGCATAAAAGAGCAAAGCATGTTCAAGAAATAAGTGGTCTGTCATTTATAATATAACATACATTGGTACTAGGGTAGGGAGGGTAGAGGGAAGATAGGACTAGGAAGGTGAGTTGGGATCAGATATGAAGGGCCTTGTATGTCATGCTAAAGAGTTCTGATTTGATTATGTAGCCAATGATGAGCCACTGAAGATTTCAGAAACACACATCTTTCTGTTCTATTCTGGCAACAATATGACAGATGGGCTATAAGAATACGGTAGCAGATACTGTATGCTAAACTCAACATCCATTCCCAACCCCTTGTCCCTTGCCTTCCTTACTATAGAAAAAATGTTATTTCCCAATCCTCCTTGAGGTAAATGTGGCTATGTGAAAAGTTATGGTTGAGATACAGACAGAAGTCTTCTGAGGGGGTTCTCAGATAGCATTTACTTTTCTGATAGGCCAGAACCATCTGGTGTACCTTTCCCCCACCCCTTCTTCCTACCTTGAATGTGTGTGCTCTCCCTGGAGGTAAGCAGCCATCTTATGACAATGAGGTAACACATCAACATGTCAAAGAGAGAAGAGAAGAAAGAGAGAAAAAGTCGAGATCCTTTATGGCAGCAATGAGCCAGGCTTTACATAGACCCTTATTTGTTTAAGGCACTGTAAACTGATTTTGTTACCTGCAAGTGGAACACATTGTCAAGTGACAGAGAACAAAACAGATTATCCAGGAGCAAGAAAGGCAGGCAGATTAGCCAGGAAAGTGATGATGAAGACTTGAACAATAGCAACGACAGGGACAGAAAAGTTAGATTTGAGAAATATAGAAATGAAGAGAGAGAGGTAAAGATAATTCACTTTTAGGCATACTGACATTGGGATATACAGGGGGCGTAAGATGGATATAACCAATAAATAATTAGAAATACAGGTCTATAGCTCTGGAGAAATAAGGGAGCTGGGAATATAAATAATAATGACATATAAATGGTGGCTGAAGCCAATGGAGTGTGCTGAGTGAGAATGAGAGAGATCATGTAGAATGAGAAAAGAGGACTAGGGCTACAACATAAGCAGCCTCAGCACTGAAGGAACAGGAGCAAGGAAGAAGAATGAATGACAAGAGAAACAGGAGTAACAGAGAGCAAAGGGAAGAGTGAGTTTCAAGGAGGGAGTGGTTAAGAGTCAATAATTACAGAAAATTCAAATAAGTATAGGGACAGGGTACTGCAAGTGAAAGAGGAATTGAAAGTGAGGAAGAAAATAATTACTTTTTAAAGAAGTATGTCATAAGAAGAGGAGACAAAAGACAGCTAGAGTGGAAGAGGCAGGGTTAAGGAAAGGTTATTGTCTTGTTTTTGGATACAGAAGACCTTAAGTTACTTAGAGGCTGAGGAAAAGAAAGAAGGGAAGAGAGAAACCAAAGACTGAAGATAAAACAAAATGTAGTATGGTCCTAGAAAAGGTGGGAAGGAATGAGATTAGGGACACAAACTGAGGCATTTACTTTAGAAAAGGGGCATGCATGGCTGAAAAGAGGTAAGTCTTGAAGGTAGATGGAAAGAAGATGAGAATGGTCATGTTTAATGATTTATAGCTCTCCAGGGGAACAGAATAGGAAACTACCTAAGAACCAGTAAAAAAAAAAAAAAAAGACAAAAAAAAAAACTGCTGAACAGCACTGGGGATCCTGCATAGCATATTGGCATTTTAAAGTTAGAGGTGTTTTTGGACATTTATGAGAAGTTAACATTAATAAAAGAAAGAGACAAAACCAAGTGCAAGTGCCAAAAAATATGCATATTTTATTCCAGCTCTGGGAAATGCAAAAAAAGGGGGGGATGTCCTTCTACACACCATTCTAATTTAGCTGATATTAATTCAGAAGAGCTAGAGCAGATATATTTGTGTATATACAGGTATGTGTTTTCAGATTTCAGTCTCATCAGTATTCATGTTCTTATTCCATTTTGGTCTTTTATAAACATCCTTAAAAGTCATCAAATGCATCCTATTACTTCTACCACTGTCTCCTCATCAATCATTTAATACTGTTTGGACCGCATTCAGTTTGTATATTAATCATTTATGGATTGGTCAAACTCTACATTACAAAACGTAAGGGGAAAAAACTTGATTTAAGTTATACTCTATGTGTCACAGTTACCCATTACATGATTTTTTTCATCATTATTTGCAACTTCACACATCTTGTAGTTCTCTATGCAGTCTATCTCAGCTTCTAGTGCTGTACATATCTACATCTTCTGGATGGGACTGCCCGTGATCCATGAGCTTGGGGTCAGGCATAAACTGTGTGGCACCTGATAAAGTATTAAAATGAAAAAAATATTAGTCATTCATTTGACAAATTTATAGTTGGTACTGGAAATAGAACAGTGAACAAAACATAAAAATCCCTGCCAACACGAATCTAACATTCTAGCTGGGTGAGACAGAAAATAAGTAAAATATTTATCAGATGGTGGTAAGTGCTATGTAGAAAAATAAAGGGAGGAGCATATGGAGTGCTTGGGTAGTTTACAATTTTAAATAGTGTGGCAAGGGAAAACCTTTCTGGAAAGGTGATATTTGAGCAAAGAAGTAAAGGAGGTGAGGGTATGAGTCCTGTAGATATCTTAGAGAAATGCCTTACAGGATGAGCAGATGGCAAGTGTAGTGTAGCTGAGGCCATCTGAGGAACCACAAGGTAGCCAGTATGGTTGAAATAGAGTAGGTGAAATGTGGTGGTGGTGGGGAGAGACAGTGATAGGACCTGTGATCAGAAAGAGAGTAGAAGGCTAGGTCACACTGGCCATGGTAAGGACTTTGGATTTTATTTTAGGTGAGATGAGATGACACTGCAGTTTTAAGCAGACAGGTGACATGATCTTAAGTTTTTAAAAAGATCACTCTTGGCTATGGGAGAAAGAGACTACAGGGGAACAAAGGTAGAAGCAGGGAGACCAGTTAGGAAGCTACTGCAATACTCCATGAGAGAGATACTATGACTTTAACCAGGTGGCAGCAGTGGATGTGGTGAAAAGGGCTTGGATTATGGATAACTTTTGAAGGTAGAATGGAGAGGATTTCTTAAATGGATTATGTGGTGTGAAAGAGACTCTTTAACTTGAGAAACTGAAAAAATGGAGGTCACATTTACTGTGACAGGGAAAAATGTGGGAAGAGCAGGTTGGGGGAAGGCAAATGAAGTGTTAAGTTTTGGTTGTATTAAGTTTGAATTGCTTACTAGATATCCAAGTACAGATGTTGAGTTGTTGTTAGTTGTGGCAGCTGGAAATATGAGTCTGGACAGTTCAGAGGTTAGGTCTGTGCTGGTTCATAATGTCAGTCCTAGCCTATATGTCATTTAAAACTATGGGACTAGATGAGATCATACAGGGAGTCAGAGAAGAGGTTCAAGGAATTAGCCCTTTGAGCACTCCAATATTTTGAAGTCATGAAGATGTAACAGAAAACTGAAAAGGAACAGCCAGTCAGTGAGGTAAGAGAACCAAGAGCTAGTGGTATCCCACAGGCCAAGTAAAAAAATTGTTTCAACGAGGAGGCTACTGATGAATGGCTTAAAATGGAGATTGAGAACTGACTCCTGGATTTTGGCAATGTGTGGATCGATGGTGATGCTGCTAAGCTTACTGTGTGCCAGACACCATTATAAGTTATTTTCATGCATTATCGCACAATACCAACATGAAGTAGGTGTTACTGTTATATTATCCTTGTATTACAGACAAGAATATCTTAGAGAGGTTAACTTGACTGATGTGACTCAGCTGGTAAGTGGTGTATCCAGAACTGAATTAAGGTCTGTCTTACCCCAACACAACAACCCTGGCTATTTTTTAAAATGGGGCTTAAAGTAATAACAGCCTCATACAATTATTTTAAGTATTAAATATGGTAATTCACAATACCTTGTTTACAGTAAGTAGGCAAGGAACAACTAACTGTATACTTATTTTGTAACATAATATTTAAAATGTTTTTAGAAATATGTTTTTAAGTACATTTTTACAAATTTGATTCATTTTAAAATGATTTTATTACATTTGGGAGCCACTTTTTTTTTTCCCCACAGAGGAATTTAATTCCCAGTTTTATAATGAAAATAAAGTGGAGAAGTAGGTTTTAATATAATGATTTGTTTTATACCTATCTTTTCTGAAAAATTTTCTTTTATAAAGTGTTACATAACAATATGTGACTCCATTACCAAATGTATTAAAAAACAACCAGATCATAAGTAATTACTACACATGACCCTTACCTAGTTGTCCATGGTATAGAGACTCCTAACTTAGGGTCCCTTTGGCAGGGTCTATGAATAGAATTTACGTGATCTATAAACTTGGATGGGGAAAATGTCTTTATTTTCACTAACTTATCACTGAAAATAATATTTTCTTTAATAATGAATGCAGGCAACAAACTACAACAGTATTAGCAACACCTCAGATTTAGTCATCAAAAGAAATCACAGATATTTTCATATCACATTACAGTTGCAGACATCTCAAAACATTGACAATCACCACTACTTCGAAATTATAGTAGCTAACAGACCTATGGAGCCCTAGTGGCACAGTGGTTAAGAGCTATGGCGAGCTATGGCTGCTAACCAAAAGGCTGGCAGTTCGAATCCACCAGCCACTCCCTGGAAACCCTAAGTGGCAGTTCTACTCCGCCCTATAGGGTCGCTATGAGTCGGAAATGACTCAAGGGCAGTGGGTTTCGTTTTCAGGTTCATTAGACTTATTGCTAGATCTTATTTAATGCATCTTAAGGAAGCACATATATTACTATGTATTTTGTTTTATGCATTTAAAAACATTATTTTGAGAAAGGGTCTGTGGTTAAGAACCTCCTGCTAGTGGTTCTGCCCTGTCAAGGTCCCTTTCTCAGATTTATCTTTACTGCCACCTGATGGAAACTGTTGCTCAGTACAAGCGAAAACTGCACTAAAAATAGTTTTCTTCTTTATCATAGTATTCCAGACAAGTGACCATTATTTTATATGCCTTAATTTCTATAATTGGCTTAACAATGTCCATCAATTAGCTAAGTTCTCTAGCACTTCTACCCACTTCCTTAATTTATATTCTTGTCCAAAGTCTGGCCAAAGATTCAATTCACCTAAATTTCTTCTATTTGAAAGGCCTGTTTACCTTTAGATTTTCTCCACCTCTCAAAATTTGTTAAAAGGCTTCAAAATTTTAATTTACTCATATCTTAGGTCAGACATTATTAACTAGAAGAATCTTCATCAGAATTCACTGTAGAACTTTTCCTAAAATCCACCCGTCTAGAAGCCTCATCTCTGGAAATTCTGCTTTGTGTGAGGTAGGAAGAGTGTGAGCCTATGAATTTTAAAAACACTCAAGTACTGTACTTCTATGCAAATAACGGGCGCCTTCTACATTTGTTTGCCAACCATGCCTCCCCCTCCTCCCCATTAAGTGTGCTATGCTAATTTTTTTACAGCAACATGTAAAAAAAATTGGCATAGCAGCGCTTATGAAAATACCTCCTGGGGGGAGGGTACAGTTGGCAAACAAACGTAAAAGGTGCGTGTTTGTTATCTGCATAAAAATATGGTAACTGTGATATGGATCCTTTGGTTTAGAACCACATGTTGTTGTGGGCCGTGGAGTCGATTCTGACACCTAGTGACCCTACAGGACACAGCAGAACTTCCCCATAGGGTTTCCTAGGCTGTAAATCTTTAGGGGAGCAGATCACCAGGTCTCTTCTCCCAGGGAGCCACTGAGTGGATTCGAACCGCTGACCTTTTAGTTAGCAGCAGAGTGCTTAACCATTGTGCCACACAGAAAAACACCAAACCAAATCCACTGCCATCCAGTCGATTCAAACTCATAGTGACCGTATAGGACAGAGTAGAACTTGCCCCATAGGGTTTCCAAGGCTATAAATCTTTACAGAAGCAGGCTGCTATATCTTTCTCCCATGGAGCAGCTGGTGGGTTGGAATATGACCTTTCAATTAGCAGCCAGTTCTTAACCACTGCTGCATCAGCGCTCCTAGGTCATTTGATTTCTGCCTTTTTAAAAAAGATTCACCTCATGCTTTTATGAATAATTATGGATTAAATCCTTCCTCTGAAATTTCTTTACCTCTTGAGCTGATCACAGGTTCCCTGTCCTCCAAGGGATTAACAGTCATAAAACTTTTTAGATCTCAATTCCCTAATCATTATAATGCTTTTCTTTGTACTTTATCATATTTTTAATCTCTAATACAACATATTCTGCTTAAAGCTTTTTAGAAGACTTTTTAAAAAGCTGGTGCTGTAACAAACAGGAAAGGAATAAAAATGTTTAAAGTTATAAAACAGCAACAAATTACTGTCTCAAATAGCCATTTGGTGACATCTACTCATTGATAATGTAGTTTACACATTATCTCATTTAGATTTTAAGCAGGTTAGGTACAACAGAAGGGACAGATCACTAATAAATTGCTGAGTGAAGTTAGCATTGTTAGAAAATCTATTTATGTTTCTAGCACATAAAACTGGGATAATATTCAGCATTCAGCTTCTCAATAACTGAACCACTTGAAGATATTACTCACTGCAAAGTATTTTCTCATACTCTGTTCTATTCCTTCCATTCCTTTTTTTTAATGTTCTTCAGTTTGGCTATTTCTTATTGACCTGTCTTTGAGTTCATTTATTCTGTCTTCTACTGTATACAGTCTGCTATTAAGCTCATCCAATGAGCTCTTAATGTCAGATATTATATTTTTCATTCTAGAATGTCCACTTGATTTGTCAACACATTCCAATTCTCTGTTGAAATTCTCCATCTTTTCAACCATTTTGTCCATCATTTTTTTCTATTTAACACAGTAGTTATTTTAAAGTCCTTGTCTGTTAACTTCAATATTTAAATTACCTGCTGGTTTGCTATTATTATTTTTTCTTTTCATTGTCAGTCACATCTTCCTGCCTCTTTGCATACTAGTATTTTGTTTATTTTTTGTATGCAAAGGACATATCTCTATCCCATTAGGCACTGAGTTGGATGTGAGCTGGGTTGTAGTTTTAGTAAGAGTCAGTCAGTCAACCTGTGTGTCCTCCCTCTTCCTCAGGTGAAGCCTCCCAAGCTACTGATGAGTTTCTGTCTCTTCCATGCTAAGGCTATAGGAAATTAAGTTTCGCCCTTCAGAGGTTTTAAGCTTGGCTGTTTAGTCTCCTGCTCCATGAAAAATCTGGCAAATATCATGAGGGCGAGATGAGTTGTGTATGTGTGGTAGACCCCCTCCCTCTACATCAAGGGTTGACAAACTTTTTCAGTAAAAGGATAGACAGTAAATATTTTAGACTTTGTGAGCCATATGGTCTCTGTCACAAATGCTCAACTCGGGTATTGAGTATGTAAGTAGTCACAGATAATAAGTAAATGAATGGGTGTGGCTGTTTCAATGGACACTGAGATTTGGATTTCATATAATTTTTCACTTGTCACAAAATATTATTCTTCTTTTGATTTTTTTCAACCAGTTTAAAACATGTAGAAACCATTCGTAGCTTGCAGGCCATACGGAAACAGGCAGTGAGACAGATTTGGCACTCAGGTCATGGTTTGCCAACACTTGCTTTAGAGGGACAGTAATCCTGGGAGACAGATTTCATTCTGCTTTTATCAGATTCTCGAAGAGGTTCACAACATCAAATTCCCAAATTGGTGATTCCTAAAACAGGATATAATTTTCATCATAAGATGCATATAGGATGATAGAGAACAACATACTCAAATTCAGACCCACCACACATACTTCTACACTGTGTCCCTAATGCACCTCATCTATTCTACATGTTGGTAAGTGGTGGTCTTGGAGATAGGGATGTTGGGCTAGTCTCATTAGCTAAGTGACTTGCTCCTAAAGTGTGCTCAGTGAAAATTTATTAGCAAAATAGCTAATTGCTATAGGCAAATGATGACGATGATATCTAATATTCACTGAGAGGTTAACATATGCTAGGTATTGTGCTTAGTGCATTACATGCATTATCTCATTTAATCCTCCCAACAACCATGTGAGAAAGATACTATCATTATTTCTTTTTATATATGAGGAGACTGAGGCTTGATGTGTTAGGTAATAGAGCTAGTAAATGTTGGATCTGGGATTCAGATTAAGGTCTTATTCTAAAATCTGTGTTCAATATCACTACTGATTCCCACATCATGGACCTTTGGGATTGCATGTGAACTGTAGAAACACCGAATCCCAAGGGTCTATTGTATAATCAACTTGGAATTATACATGATAATGAATGGCACTGGCATATCTCTCCCCTTCTGCATATCTCCATAGAATGCTTTTCATCTATCACATTTCCCACCATAATTTGAAATATAACAGGAGGGTAAAGGGTTCCAGAATCCAGATGTGTGAAGAAAAGACATTAGCTAGGGATGGTTTTGGTCCCACCATTAAGCTGTAGGAAGTTTCATCTTCACGAAGATACTCTGGAATTGATAGGCATTTAGAAAAATGACCAGATACGTTATACACTTATGGAAATAAGATCAATTGTAGATTATTCAGAGACAGTCTAAAAACTGTACAACTTATCTTGATTAAGGAGAGGCGACAGGAAAATAGTAAAATCAGGCTTGTTACTCAGTGACAGCGTTTATAAAGAGAAGGAGGAAGCAGAAATTAGAGACTAAGCTCTGGTTTTAATAAATAATAATCTATGCACATTGGACAGTTTGGACTTTGGTGTCAGGAAGATCTAGCCTATAAACACAGCTCTGCTACTCACAAGCTGTATGACTTTGGGCAAGTTATGTATGTTCTTGGAGTCCCAGTCTCTTCATCATAGAGTGGGAATAATTACTACACACCAGAGTTTTTTGTTTTGGGGTAAAGATTAAATAAAATAATATAATACACTTACAGTCCTTTACATCACAGTAGGTTTGCAATAAAAGACAGATATTCATATTATTCCCTAAGTCTCTACCTCTCTGGTCATATTACCTATTGCAATAAGACATTCACATTGCAGAGATAGACAAACCTATGCAAGACACTGACTGGTGAGTGTATATGAATACACAGTTGAAATGGTATTAAATATCATTACCTTATTTTTGATCACAGTGCAACTATGGTAGTATTTACCTAGAAAGTATAATTACCACTATTTGATCCCACAAAGTACTAATTGCCAGTATTTAATACTAACAAAGTTATTAGCATTATACCCAAAAACCCATTGCCGAGGAGTCGATTCCGACTCATAGTGACCATATAGGACAGACTAGAATTCCCCATAGGGTTTCCAAGGCTGCAATTCTTTACGGAAGCAGACTGCTACATCTTTCTTCCGATTAGCATTATAATAGGTGCCATTTCTACTCCTTAAACCTGAAAGTACTTCTAGTACCTACACTGAATAAAACTATGGAAAGTGGAATCAAAAAAAAAAAAAAAATAAGGAGGCTAATAGAAGGAAACAGCCCAAATTAAATAGAAGTTGATACTTCTTCTATGTAGATGTGACTCACACCTATAGCCTATAAATTGATAGGATCCAGAAAGGCAGATTTTCTCCTACCTGATAAAAAGCTCGTATTTACAAAGTGATATTAAATGCTTCACTCAGCCAACCCACCCAACAGTGCTACTCTATACCCTCATACAACAAAGATCAGTATTATGAACTATGCAGCAATTAAAAAAATCCTAGGCCCTGAGTACCTCATAACCTAAAAAGATAGAGTACAGATATGAGAAAAACAAAACATTGATGAAGAGACATAAATAAGTTCAAACTATGAATTACAATACTATCAAATTACTTAAGAACAAAAACAAAACTGAATTATTCCAAACAAACCTGAGGTGAGTTCTGATTTGGTCTTTGTTTCAGAGCCGAGTTCTGTTGGCAAAGGCACTGAACGTTTCAGGACTTGAGCTGTCTTTGTAGGTATTTCTATTTCAGCATAACTTCCTACCTGTTTACCAAAAATATTTTTCCTTAATAAGTAAACCATTTTACTAAAACAATAAAATATCTTAAAAAATGATAATAGAAAGAATTAAGATTCCTTCATCTACTTTCATTCTATCCTTAACCTCTGTTAGTACCCTCATTCCAAGCCAACATCCATTGAAATAAAACTCAAATGTCTACCTTTTTGGTCCACTGAAACTCTACCTTAGTTTTTTCTTTAGGTTCAGGGAGTGTTTCTTTTTTGTTGCTTTTTGTCCATGATTTAACTGCTTCATAAATTTGCTGGCTTGTAGCATATGCCTTTTTCCCAGTTACCTAATTAAAATAAAAAATCAAATAACATATATTTTAAAAAGTTAAAATAACAAATATTTTTAAAATTACATCAGGTACTTTATATTAACACCCAGTATCAATAGTAAAGGTATAAATATTTAGATAACACAAAGCACCATTTTCTACATCGTATATGAAACATTATTTGCCTCACGTAAAAGACTTAAAAGTGTATACTTTGCATTCATATTGTAATATGTGAATTCAAAATTTTATGTCTATTTAACAGGAGTTTTGGAAAGGTAGTTTGAGATGATCAACAGCTGACTAAGAAAATGAGATTTTAAGATGCTATCCAGTTAATATTCTGGCTTAAAATTTTAAGGTACTTTCTCCCACTCATAAAGAAAGAAAAAGCATCAATGAATTTCTCCAGAGAATTACACTCTTTTTGGTAGAAGGACGAAATACAAATTGAACTACAACCACTAAAGAGACTGGGATGCTCACTGAATGCCCAAAGTTACCATTACTTTTATTCATAGATCTTTCCCTCTGAAAATCTTCTCCTTCCTTCTTATGATTTTTTACCCATCCTTTTGTTCCTTATGGTTAAAATGATTTCAATAGCTATTAATTTTTCAAGTGTTAAAGAAGTTTTGGGGAGTTTTCCAGCATAAAGGTTTCTATAAACATAAATTTTTTTTAAATGTATGTTTTTCTTCATCAAATAGAAATATGTTTGTTTTTGCTAAGTAGATATACACACTTAAAAAAAGTCAAGCACTATACTAGTATAAAGAAAGCAATACACTAGTATAAAGTATAAAGTACATTACACTACATAACTGGATATAATAATTGTTAACAGTTAGGTGGACATTCCAGAATTTTTACTCTCATAAATAGATTATATATAAACATATAGAATTTTGAAATATAAATCGAATGTTAATACTTACAAATCTACCAAAAAAGATGAGGTAGATCTGTATGTACTGACATGGTGTCTTAGTTATCTAGTGCTGCTATAACATAAATACCATAGTGGATGGCTTTAACAAAGAGAAGTTTATTTCCTCATAGTAAAGTAGGCTAAAAGTCCAAATATAGAGCGTCAGCTCCAGGGGAAGCCTTTCTTTCTCTGTTGGCCTTCTCTTCAATGATCTCCCCTGTCTAGGAGCTTCTCCGTGCAGGGACCCTGGGTCCAAAGGATGTGCTCTGCTCCTGGCACTGCTTTCTTGGTGGTATGAGATCCCCCCTCTCTGCTTGCTTCCCTTTCCTTTTAATCTCTTGAGATAAAAGGTGGTGGAGGCCACACCCCAGGGAAACTCCCTTTACATTGGATCAGGGATGTGACCTGGGTAAGGGTGATGTTACAATCCCACCCTAATCCTCTTTAACATAAAATTACAATCATAAAATGGAGGACAACCACACAATACTGGGAATCATGGCCTAACCATGTTGATACATATTTTTGGGGGACACAATTCAACCCATGACATTCTACCATTTGGCCTCCAAAAATTCATGTCCTTGACACATGTAAAACATATTCACCCCATCATAACACAGCAAAAGTCTTAATTCAATTCCAAGTCCAAAATCCAAAAATTCCTCTTCTTCTGTGAAATCTAGAATACAAGTTATCTGCTTCCAAAGTACTATGGCAGAACAGGCATAAGCTAGACATTTCCATTACAAATGGGAGAAACTGGAGAGAAAGAAGGTACAACAGGCACCAAGCAAGTCAGCAGAACACATTATATTAGCCCTCAAGGCTTTGAAAATAATCTTCTGTCCTCTGAGACAATTTACACAATAGCCCTGCCCTCCAGACTGTAGGTATTGGCCACAGTCTCTGGATTCTGAGTGGAGGCCCCTCAGCCCTGGGCTTCAGCTTTGCCTTCCAGGTCCACTGGGACGGCAACTCTGCTCCCTCAGCTTCAGGCAGACCATTCTCCTAGTCCATCTGAGTGGCAACTCCACCCTCTGAAACCCCAGAGGTCATGGCCATATCTTTTAAGACTGAGGTAGCTTGACTTTCTGTGTTCCTTGTCTCTTCAGGTTCTGCTTCCTGGTTTCTCGGTCTCTCGGCTCCTCAGGCCTCACGCCCGCATCTGCCCTGCTGGGGCAAGTATTCCAAAGCTCTGTAGCTCCACTGATAATTGCCTGGAGGCACCCTACTCCGCCAGTAAATTTAGGCCAGAAGGCACTCAGCTCTCCTGCTCTGTGGGTCAGCAAGCCTAGCTCTACTGATAAGCTTCAGGAGACACCCCACTCTGCCAGGAAGCCTCCTGTGCAGAGGCACTCAGCTCTCTTGCTCCGTGGGTCTGCTCTAGCGCTGTCTGGCGCTGGTCTCCTGGTTTTGCTGCTGCCGGTTGTCTGCTGCTGCTGGTCCTCTGCTGCTGCTGGTCCTCTCTCCATTCACAGTTTCAAAACTGCTTCCACATTTTAGGTATCTGTTAGAGCAGCACCTCACTCTCTCGGTACCAAATTCTGTCTTAGTTATCTAGTACTGCTATAACAGAAATACCACAAGCAGATGGCTTTAACAAAGAGAAGTTTATTTCCTCACAGTAAAGTAGGCCAGAAGTCCAAATTCTGAGTGTCAGCTCCAGGGGAAGGCTTTCTCTCTCTGTTGGCCTTCTCATCAGTGTGCCCCCTGGACTAGGAGCTTCTCTGCACAGGGACCCTGGGTCCAAAGGAGGCGCTCTGCTCCTGGCACTGCTTTCTTGGTAATATGAGGTCCCCCCTCTCTGCTTGCTTCCCTTTCCTTTTTATCTCTTGAGAGATAAAAGGTGGTGCAGGCCACATCCCAGGGAAACTCCCTTTACATTGGATCAGGGATGTGACCTGGGTAAAGGTGGTATTAAAATCCCACCCTAATCCTCTTTAACATAAAACCACAATCACAAAATGAGGACAACCACACAGTACTGGGAATCATGGCCTAACTAAGTTGATACATATTTTTGGGGACACAATTCAATCTATGACACATGGACAGTAACCCATGATGAATTGCAGAATTGAAAAAGAGGTTACAGAATAGATTTTATACTACAATCTCAATTATGTTTTGAATTTGATTTTAAAATAAAATTTCTTTTGAAACACAAATAGGATCACGTTATACTGAGATTTGATTTTTTTTAAAGCTTAACAACATATCACGGAGATGTTTCCATATCAGTTTATATCTGGTAGATCTAATTCTTTTTTAAAAAAGCAGTTACATAGTTAATATTCTATAATGGATACACTATGATTTGTCTAACAAATCCCCACACTTTATTTAACCAATTCCCAGTTAATTTCCCAGTTAATGGGCAGATGGGATGTTTTCTTTTTTTTTTTTTTTTACATTATACAATGTTGCAATTAACATCTTTATAGATACAACTGTGCCCATACACCCATGCACTATATATCCTTCGGATAAATTCCTAGCGGTGAAATTTCTGGATTAAAGAGTATATACATTTTAATTTTTCAGCAGTGGTTAAGCGTTTGGCTGCTAACCAAAAGGTTGGCAGTTCAAATCCATCAGCCACTCCCTGGAAACGCTATGGAGCAGTTCTACTCTGTCCTATAGGGTCGCTATGGGTCAGAATCAACTCACCGGCAACAGGTTTGGTTTATTACCACACAGACCTCCAATAAGTCAGCAATATACTACATCAATTTATATGTCCATCAAGAATATATGTTTTTCCATCCCATTTACCAACAGTGGTATAATGAATCTTTTAAATCTTTGTCAAATTGAAAGGTTAAAAACCAGTATCTAAATGATTTTTTAAAATTTGCATTTATTTAGTGGAAACCCTGGTGGCATAGTGGTTAAGAGTTCCGCTGCTAACCAAAAGGTCAGCAGTCGAACCCACTAGGCACTCCTTGGAAACCATATGGGGCAGTTCTACTCTGTCCTATAGGGGTGCTATGAGTCGGAATCGACTCAATGACAACGGGTTTGGGTTTTTATTTTTTTATTTAGTTACTGATGTGGTTGAGCATCTTTCATATCTTACTAGGCCGTTTATGTTTCTTATTTTGTGAATTGCCTGTTCATGTATTTTCTTCATTTTCCTATAGGGCTTTCATATCTTTCCTATTGATTTACAGGATCTCTTAATATATGAAGGATACTTGTCATATATGTTGCAAATATTTTTTACAGTTTTTCATTTATCCATTAACTTTGCATATGATATATTGTGGTCTACAGAAATGTATTTATTTTATGTAGTCAAATTTGTCATTTTTTTCCTTTGATGACTTCTGGATTATGTTTTGCTTAAGAAGACCTTGTCTATCTCAAAATTATTAAGAAAATTATTTTTTTGTAATACTTTTTTTTGGTGAAAATATACACAGCAGAACATACACCAATTCAACAATTTCTACACGTACAATTCAGGGACATTGATTACATTTTTCAAGTTGTACAACCATTCTCACTATCCCTTTCCAAAATACAGTATTATATTTTATAATCAGATCTTTATTCTATCTGGAATTTACTTTTACGTATGGTATTTGGTAAAGCTCTAAGGTTATTTTTGTAAACAAATGGTCAATTATCCCGATGCATTTCCTGAATAATCCATCCATTCTTTACACACTGATCTAAAATGACACTTTTACCACATACCAAAATTTCCCCCCTCCCCCCGACAGGTATACACTTGAAGAATATTTACTTTTGGACATTCTATTTTGTTCTCTTGATCTATTTTATTGTTTATGCTATAGCTTAGTATAGTGATTGACTGATGGTAGATGGACAATAAATACTGGCTGACTGAACGTCATGTTTCCTCTAAATACAGGATTTTTAGAAGAACTGAATTAAATTTACATATTAATTTGGAAATACATGCCATATTCCAATATTGAGTATTTTCATTCAGAAATAGGATATATCTATAAATGTTTTCAAGTTTTGTTTAAAAAAAGTCCTTCAGTAAAGTTTAATAGGTTTAAAAAAATAGGCCTTAAAAACATTTGACAAATTTACTACTAGATATTTT